ATAAAATTCCTCCGGCAATGGACGCCGCCTAAATAACATAAAAAAAAAATAAAAAATAAAATTAAATTTTATTAGTCATCTATATACTATCATAGATCATATATATTTGCAGAATGACTAATGATCTATGACCGATCATATAGATCATATTGGTCATATAATGTCATAGTCTAACACTGAATTAATAAATAAAATACTTAGATTTGGTGATCCAGTATAGTAGATAGGTTGTCAAACTACCATACAAGAGGTCTAGAGTTCAAATTCTACTGTCAACAGAATTGAATAATTATCTAGATATCTGTACCTAACTTACAGTAAACTCTGTTCATTTTTGAGGTTGTAACCCTGTAAATTATATTGCACTAATGTTGTTTAGATATTGGAAGTGTAACAGAATGTTGAAGTTGTATTACACAAATAAATTGAGATAGTATCTACGAACAAAGGACCTGCATAGTAGAAATCTCAAGTTAGATGAAGTAGTATAGATTTTAATAGTCATGCTAATTAATACTTGATCTGACAAGGATTTCTGAGTATGAATCGAGTAGATATAAGTAAGTCCGCAGTATAACGCAATCTGGTGTCTTGCATTTAGTAGCTACACCAACTTGGCTTAGTAGCTAACTAGATTGGGAGAATTTACCTCATAAAACATTCGAAAGTTTAAACTAGTAGAGAGCTAAGCTAGAACTAGGTTTGTATGAATATCAAATAAGGGTATATGCAAGTTAGATTGGGATATAGCATAACATAATTGGGTATTGTGACACTATCTGTTAGAAAGCATTGAAATGAGACTTATTTGAGTAAAACCTAGGCCCATAACAATAAAGTTTGCGACTAATATTAGCTTGGGTGCCTCTCAAAGTGGAATAGTATAGAGTTATAATTAACTATAAAAAATAATATTTGCAGTAAATGAGATAGAGCCAGAGAGTTTAAATAGAGAATCTTCTAAGAGATTTCAGGTATGGCAACTAGTGTAGAACCTTTAGGCAGACTACTTAAAATAGACAATCTAAAATTGTATGTGTGGCTAGTTGTACTCTCACAATATGTATCACTTCTGAAATATATAAAATTAATAAAGTTTAGCTGATAGCATTTGTATAAAGTAAAAAAAAAATAAAATAAAAAAAATAAAAAAAATAAAATAAAAATAAATAAATAAATAAATAAAATAAACATGTTATTTTACTTGAACAAATCTAATTTATTTCGTACAATTTGTTTTTTTGAAATTCATGATTTGGTTGACCAATAATCATGTGACAATATGTATATTGTTTACATTTATTAACAAATCAAATCAAATGTCCGCTATGCTCGTTTGGCTATTATTGATTTTGAGTATTTACCACTATTATAAATCTCATTCTTTTTATTTCACCATCCATACTTGTTATATACGTACCCCAAAACGGTTCCGTCCACTTCACCGACGCTCATTTCACAATCAATTCACCGACATGTTTATTTTACTGACAAACAATTCCAAGACAAGCTCATTTCGTCGACAACTCATTTCACCGACAGTCATTTCACCGACATTACTATCATTAGAATTAGGGTTAGGGTTAGAGGATTTTATAAGAAATAAACTTGTCGGTGAAATGAGCTGTCAGTGAAATGAGTTGTCGACGAAATGAGCTTGTCTAGGAATTGATTGTCTGAAACAAACATGTTGATGAATTGATTATAGGTGAAGTGTTGTGTCGATAAAATTAAGTAATACGGGTTCTATCAAAATATCCAGATCACAAAAAGACAATAACTAATTTGCGCCACTTTTCCTAGTCTCAAATCACATGTAAATTGGTGCGCCACTAATCTATTCCATGTTAATTGATAATCTACGATTTTTTTTTTAAAAAAATTTTCGCTACGTATAAATATCGATAATCATAACGATTACTATAATTTTATGACTTAAATATCAAACCATGAAGATAACAAACAAAAATCAATTACTTATTGTTATATATATATTTTGATATAAAGTCACAATATTTACCAAAAATTAATGTTTAACCACTACGATACTATAAACATCACGATATCAAATTAGAAATGTTTACATTTACCAACTTAGTTCGGCCTTTTATCCTTATTAGGACTTCGTCTTTCATTAAAGTTTTCGGGACTTCTTTTTCTCCCGAGATTTCTTCTTTCATTTTTCGTAAAGGGTCAAGTTTTTCACCAAGGGTTTCGTCTTTCACTGGGAGATTTCAAATTTCGTCTTTTCCAAGTTTAAGTTTCGGTTTTCGTCATTTACATAAAACAGTTTCTATTAATAATTATATTAAAGAACGTGATGAATTAATTAAAAAATTTGGTAAATGTCCAACTTGTGAAGGATTACCTAAAGAGGATCAGAAAAAACCAATTTATAAATGTCCAGATTGTGGAATTCCTACTCATTGTTCAGAAGAACATTATAAACAAAATTTAATTGAGCATAAATTGCATACATGTGAGATGTTAAAAGAATTTAATGAAGATACTCATGATTTAATGAGTGGTAGAAAAATGCCAGAATTGGAATTTCCGAGTAAGTTGATCTTAAAAAAAAAAAACATTTTTTAATTTCTCTTAAAAAATTACTTAAAATAATATTTAATATTTTAAAAAGGTTCACAATCACTTGATGAAGAAGTTAATTTATTAAATTGGGATACTTTTTTGTACACAAGAGGATTTCCAAGTATAGATCATGCTCGTTCTTTAAGACATGTATCTAAATTGTTGACTTACCCGATAACAATTGGATCCGTTTTACATCAAAATGGTCCTTATACACTTCGAAATAGATTAACAAATGAGGGTTTAAAGTCGTTAATTGGTAAATTTTTTTTTCACCAGATAGATATCTTATATATATATATTTTTGCTTTATATTTTTCGTATTACTAATGTAAGATATTATATATATATTTTTTTTTATAATTAAAAAAAGCATTGAGAACAACCTTACATCCAAAACAAACTAGTGTTGATATAAAAACTCTTCAACCAGCAGAAACAGTTCGAATATTTATAATTGGAGCTCGCGCGGAAGCACAATTACCATTACATTTATATACACAATTATCATATTTATTTCCAACTATAGCATTACATATTCATTTTATTGGTCCAGAATCAATTTTACCTGGAAATGAATCACATACAACACATTTTAATCATTATTTATCTTTTACATGGAAAAATTCTTTTTATCATGATTATCATGATTCTATAAGTCCATTTGATCCATATTGTGATATATTCTTTCTTTTTCATCCTGGAATATATCAAAATAATGGAAAAGAATTATGGGAAAAAACGATCAAAAAATTGTTAAAAACCAAATGTGCTATTTTAATTACTGGTTTTAATGAGAATGATATGAAAAATGAAATTCAAATTATAGAAGAGGATGATACATTTGAATTTGATTGGATATTAGAACCAGGAGAAAATGAGTTTAAAAGTTTACGAAGAGATATTGATATAAAAGATGTACGAATAGGTGTATATCCAAATTGGGGAATTTTTGGAATAAGAGGAAAAAGATATGATATTAGACAATATGAGGAAGATGATGGTGCTTTAGAAATTCAAGAGGAGGAAGAGGAAGAATTAGAGGAAATAGAAGAAATAAAGAGAATAGAGGAGGGTAACATGAAAAAACAACGAATTCGGCATTAATGTAAATAAATTCTTTTTTGTATCACTTTTATTTGCCTTTTTCATAAGAATACGGCCACGTGATGTATGTAATTATATTGTAATAATATAATAGTAATAAACGCGATCATTTATAAAATTTTGAATAATGGCTGAGACACACACTCGGTTATGTTGCTATCTAATTCGAGACGATTTTGGGCCAATCGTCGAAGTAGGAAGTCTCTTTCATTATTTTTATAGTTTATTTTCATTATTTTTATAGTTTATTCATTTAAAGTCAACTAAGAATTATACACTTTTACATACATATAAGCAAGTTGCAAAAATTCTTTTACAAAAAGGTCGTCTTACCTTGCCAATAATCGCCAAACTAGCAAAATTTACTTTAACAAAAACTCGGGAATGTCTCTTCATATTGATCCAACATAATTTGGTATACTGGGCTGAATCAAGAGAAGGCCAAAGGATTGGAATTTATTATTCCATTGAAAAAGACGAAATTTTGACAAGGTTAAATTTTGGTATTTATATAAAGAATGCTAATGAGTGGATCGAATCAAAAGTAAATTTCGTTATTTTCGTTTATTATCTTTAAGAATTTTGATGCTATCTAGCCTTATTAATTTGTTAATTTTAATAGCATGCGAGCGAACTTGTCAAATATATATTGCTTAACGGAAAAGTGACTTTCGCAGGATTAGTTGAAGAGATGAAAATTAACAAAAAATCGAACAGTAAGTATTTATATTCTTAATTGCAACACAGATGCATAAAATAATAATTTAAATATATATATATTATATTTTTTTTTTTTCTTTTTTTCTTAGAATACAAAGATATAAAAGAAACCTTTTTCAAAATGATAGAAAAATATTATGTTTTGCCTGTTAATTTTGCTGATTCGAAATCTGCTAGGGATAAAGCAACTGAAGCAGAACAACGAGAATTAGCAAAAGTAACTAATTTCATACCTACCAAAAAACAAATGGCTGAAGCTAAAGCCAAACTTGCAGCTAATCTTGATACAGATGATGTTGCAACTGGATCGGTAATAATTTTAATAATATCTATTCTTGTCACGTAATTAATATATTTAGTTAACATATTTTTTTATGCAAAAATTTTAATAGAAACGTAAATTAAATATGGATAATTTTGATAGACCAGCAAAGGTCAGAATTAAATTTTTTTTCATGAATTTATTTGAATTTATTTGAATTTATTGATTAACAATATAATAAGGGCTTAATTTTGATAAATTTTTTATTTAATATTGCAGCAACTCAAAGGGGAGATAACAATTGATGTAAGTCTTGATTATAATTTAGGCAATGAACTTAAGTTCAAGTAATTTAGACACGAATGTAATATACAATATTGAAATGATATACAATATAATTATAATTTTTCTTATATTAGGATAATCAATATTATCGGGTGAACTATGAAAAATTTAACGTTAAAGCAAGAAATAAAGTAATAATAAAAATTAGAATCTTTTATTTGATGAAACTTAATACACTTTTATAAACTTAAATCTTTAATATGTTAATTTTTTAGCGTTTTTCGAAATTTGTTAGGAATCTTATTAATCATTCTGCAGGAATGATTATGAAATATATTCTGGATATTGCTGATTGTGATAAAGCGAGTGATATCGAATCTTGTAAATATATTTTATAAAATTTATAAATTTAATTTAATGAAGCTTTTAAATTTAAATTTTTTAATATTTTAAAAGGTTCTATTTCATTACAAAAAATCATTAAAAATATTCCAGAAAGCAAAGATGAAATATTTGCTCAGCAAATGAAAACCGAAAGAGGAAAAACTGTCAACCGTGAATCTCTTATTAAGCAATATTTGGATTGTCTTATTGAAGATGATGCAAATATTTTATGTAAAAAAGATGAAAATATGGGTGGAATGTATTTTGTAAAATATAATGCTCTATGTGAATCTTTGAAGCAACAAGTTTTTGAAAATATTATATTAAAAAAATTTTCGCTACGTATAAATATCGATAATCATAACGATTACTATAATTTTATGACTTAAATATCAAACCA